GTTCATTTGTCATAAACAAATATTCCAACAAGCATCGAGCCAAATTCTCATAAACAAATATAAGGTAATTTGAATCTCAAATTTTTTTTTCAAAAACACTAATATAGTTTGGTGAAATTATTTCGTAGTCTCACTCGTAAATTATCCTATGATTGTGCGATCAATTACGAATCCAATAATTAATCATAGTTTGAATTATCTGATAAGTCAGGAGTGAATCTAGTTGATCATCACACTGAATTAAAATATAATAATGATCAACATAAAATATAATTATTCGTAATTGGATCGTGATTAGCTAATATTAATAAAAAATCAATCTCAAAATTTATGAGTAATTAAAGACTTAGAGATAAAAGAGATATATGATTTTGTATTTACTACATTATTAATTGTTATAATATATAAGTGAGATACAAACCTCACTTAATAGATCTATCCTAACAATATTTTTTATTTATTAAGCATTTCAATTTCACTCGCTATCGGATCACTCAATTTTTACTGTGTATATATATTTTTTCAATGTTCATTTGATTTTAAATGTGATTAATAGGAGTCATGTGCCAAATTCCTATAGTCAAATGCTAAAAGGAATTATTGATCACTTTCCAGAAAATGATAAAGCTTCATCATCATCGTCATGAAAGTGTATAATAATAATATCCAATAATAAAATACGCTCCTTAGTTAAAATTAAATAAAATTATCTAAATGTGTATACAAAATTATTGTGTTATTATAGGGCACAATTTGATGGGAATCTAAAAAGGTTGGACAAAAGCACAAAAAGTTGGTCCTTGATTTCTGCTGGTTTATTTTATTATATTACCACACAGAAAACAATGTTTTTTCAAATAATCACAATGGTATCAATGTTATTGTTTACTTGCGTTAAAGGGTGTAATCAAATATGATCACGTGTGACAAATTGATACTTTCTTATATTTCACCATAAATATTTTTTTTATACATAATACAATCACTTTTAAAAAGTAATGTAATACTTAAAAAACAAACTTTAAACTTAAATCTAATTCAATTCTTAAAAAAATCACCACTTGATTTGTATCTATTTATTTATTATAAATAAGTTTTGATATTTAATTATGGAACTTCCACACAACTTAATTAATAAATAAGAAAATTTACAAAATTATATTTTAACTTATGATTTTCCATATTAAAAAATAAATTTAAAGTCAAACTCAAATAGACTTAACTTATAATATAAAATTTACATTTACTTATATATTATAAATTAATATTATTTTTAATTAATGTGAATATTTTAATAATAATTATTAAAAAGTAAATTTTTATATTTATAAAAATAATTAATTAATATAAAGTATGTATACATTTTTTTTAGTATAAAAATAATAAAATCTTAAATATTAAGACCTCTAAAATATTTTTATCTAATGGAATTACATAACAAATATATTTATATTAAATTAGTGTAGAAACAACGTCACTTCACAATTGAAAAGAGAAAAAAAAATGTTTCTTTATAATATAAAATGATAAATACTTTCTTTAAAGACATTTCATTCTATCTGCTATATTCCTCCTCATATATCTATGTCAAATTTTCATAAAATGATTTATAGTGAATTATTAACAATATATTAACAATATCGTAAAGTGAATTATTAACAATATATTAACAATATCATAAAAAAGACATTATCTCAGATAAAATATGTAAAGTGAATTATTAACAATAATAGTTTTTAAAAAATAAAATAAAATAATCAAATAGCATATCGTATTTTGTATAAATACTTAAAACTTTTTATCTTTATTATGAAATATAAATATAATATTCAAATAGCATAAATTTAACATACATAAAATTCAAAACGACTAATTCCATGCCGATAATTTTTATCTTTATTCTTGTAAAGATTTGACATTTAACTATATTTTGAGGATTATTGTTTCTATAAATCCACTATCAATAGCAAAATCACTTTAGTTTCTCTAAGATGCCTTTATTGGAAATAAATTTTCTATAATAGATTTATTTTTAAATATACTTTGTTTTATTTTTATGTTTATTTTATTGTTCTTTAAAAAATTGAAATTCTTTTTGAGATTTATAATTTTTGAAAAAAAGTCAAAATTCTCTTTCGATTTTTCTTATACATATGAAAATTTTAGTTTAGTCTTAAAATTTAAATAAAAACCTGAAATTAATTTTCATTCTCACATTCATATTTTATTTCATGCAGACTGTGCTTAATAATATATTACCAAAATACAATCTACTATACATATAAGAAAATAATATATTATGAAAATTACTCCTGTACCCATTCTTATTTTGATGACAGCTGTCCTTTTTTATGCTCTTTTTGTCATTTCCGTTTTTCTCTTTTTTCGTAGTTCACTTTTTTAACTCTGTCCATGAAAAAACTGATTTAGCTGTAGAGAAATGATAACATGAGTTAATTTAACAACGGTGAAATGGTTTTAAAAATATAAAGTTTTGTATTTTTTTAAGAAAAAAAGAAAGTAAAAAGTAAAAAGTAAAAAGTAAAAAGTAAGTAAGAATATTATAAATATAAAAGATTTATGTGTGTTAAACGAATGATTTTTAACATTTTTTTATTTTTTTTCTCCCAAATTTTCAATCAAATATAGAAGAACTTGTGTGTTCTGCATCCTCGCTAAAATTCCTTGAAGAGGAAGAACCCTGGTTAAAGCATATAAGATACACTATTTTTTTTTACAATGTACACAAGTTCATGCTGAATTCTTAAGAGTTTTGCATGCTCCTCAACTGCCTTAGATTCAAATATATGCTCCATTATTTTTTATGTAAGAAAGATAACTTATGTGTAGATAAATTTATGTTTATTTTATATTTTATCAGATGTGTAATTTTGTTTGTATCTAAGGTTTTAGCAAAAAGGCTTTGTGTCTGCTCAATAAGTTTTATTCGAGGAGCATGAAGTGGAGATCCTTTGCTTGCCATCGGATTTTTCCCGAGTTCCCAATAAGGCATCAGGAATTGCCAATGAAGCAGTTATCTTTGAGCATGCCCAGTGCATTATCACCACCTCTTGATTCATTCCAAGATGTTCTGATATTTTTAGAGCAAGCAGATGTTGGTGAACATTAATCAGGCGACCGATCAGAACAAATTTTCACCAGTCCGCTGGCGTGAAATGTCAAATTCATGACCTGCAGCATCAACACAAGCTTCAACTGCCTCAGGAAGAGACGATCTTATCAATCTCAAATTTTCATCAGCCTTGGCACTTCGCCTATCAAAATGATACAGGGCATCAACCTTAACATTTTGTACTAATTTTGTATAAATTATTTTGGGATTGAATCATATGTGTGTACTTTCTTCCTTGATCGTTATTAATATTATTATTATTATTACAATTCATATTACAATTAACATTGTTATTATCAATATCACCAGTATGATTATTATTATTATTATCATCATGGCTTAATACCTCTTTTGGTCCCTCAGAAATAGGGGTTGTGTTCAAAATAGTTTTAGCTTTTTTAAAAAGTAACAAATGATTCAAACTTTTGAAAAAAAAGGTTAAGTTAATCCTTTTTGCTAACGGCATCAAAAATTAAATGGTATTACGTGGCAGTGAGGTTAAAATTGTAAAAAAAAAAATAGATTGGATGTTGTTAAGGCTTCCAAGGAGTTTTGAGACTGTATTCAGCGGTAAACAACTCTCCACTCAATCTGCTTCTTTGTCTCAGATTCTCTATTATGCATTCCAAATAAAAATTCCTCATACATTTCGAGCTGTTCATTTCTGTAATATTAATTTCATTTCTTTAGAAGATTATTAATTATTAATCTATATATGAAGTTACTTTTCACAAGATCTTCAATCATCCTCCAAATTTTGAAATATCACAAATCTGTCAAAATATTTCATTTATTTGAGAAGTGGAGGAGTTCAATTTTCGTGTTAGAAAAAAGTGGTCAAGATACAACTCGCCTATGCGAAGAAACAACCCGCCTCTGCCATGACCATTGCGCTGCGAAGAGGTCGTGTCTGCGCTTCCTGCGAAACAACCCAAAACAGAGAAGAAGAGGGTTTTCCTTGCGCCACAAAGGGCCTCGCGATTCCGTCACAGTACTTGCCAGATCGTGTCACCGCGAGCCACCACGACCTTCTTCGACATGATCTCCTCCCACGGTCCCTTGCGAACTCACCGTCAGCCACTACACTACATAAGACAAAAACGCCGCCTGCGTCGCGCTCCCACATCTCTGTCGTCTTTGCCGCCAAAAGGCTTCTGCTCGAGACAAGGATAACTCTCAGAGTAGAGTTGTCTGCAAAAAAGAAGAACTCAGGATTAAGTTGTTAGCGTGAAAGAAACAAAAGAAAATTGGGAAGAAGAAGACAAGTTCTTGACTAGGTTTCTGACAGTGAATTAGCTTTTAAAAATTTAACTAGGTTTCTGACAGTGAATTAGCTTTTAAAAATTTAATTAGAGTCAGAGTGATTTTAATTAAATTACCTATTAAGATTAGAGGTAATTAGAAATTGTTATTTACATTGGTTAATGAAACTCTTACTCTTCATAAATTTTTTAATTATAAATTAAAAGGAATCTTTGACCAATTCAACATTTTTTAGTAATTATTTAATTTTTTAATAGTTATTTATTTTCTTTTAAAGAATTATTCAATTTTTTATTTTATATTTCTGACAGTATCACACAGTTATTAAAACTGGACATCTCATGTTATTTTTTAAAAATTTAAGACCATTTCGAACACAATCCTTTTTTCGGAACCAAAAAAGTATTAAGCCTGTTATTATTTATAATTGTTATTTTTTAATATTATTATTATTATTATTATCAGTATAGTTATTATTATTATTATTATTATGCGTACGCACGGCTCACAGGCTACAGGCTAGTTTAGTATATTTTATAGATTGCATCAACTCAACAAAATTTACAAAGTGAACGCCGCGATATCCGGAAAATGCTGCGGCGTCATCGTGCTGTTACTATATATATAGGTGTGTGTGTGAGAATCCAGAAAAGGGTGAGAAGAGAAGAAAGGATGAGAGAGAGAAGCAAAGAAGAAGAGTGTGAGATGGGAGTAGGAGCGTTGTTGAAGAAGGATGTTGCAGTTGCAGAGGCACCCATTGTTCTGGGACTGCAACCCTCAGCCATGATTGACCACGTGGCAAGAGTGGATTGGTCTTTGCTTCATCAAATTTCCGGTGAACATGGAGGCTCCATACCTGTACTACTACTCACACCCCCCCATCACCAATTTACTTCCTTTTCATTTCCTCACTCTCACTCTTAACTTTTTTTCGCTTTTATTATCACTTACGCTAGGTGGGTTCTTACAATCTTCTCTTTTTTTTTATGCTTACATTTTCAAAGCATAGCTTTTCTGTTAAATTATTCTGCTGTGATCCTTCATCACATGACATGACATGAAAATCTGTTTCACGATGGTAGGTTGAGCTTGTAGAGCTTGAAAATATACTGAGGGAGGTGAAAATCCATGTTCTCTCATGCCATGATGATGACCCTTCTGCTGCAAATGTCAAGACCTTGGCTGGAGGTAGTGTTGCAAACACGGTTCGAGGGCTGAGAAGTGGGTTTGGGATTTCTAGTGGAATTATTGGGGCTTGTGGAGATGATGACCAAGGAGAGTTCTTTGTCCATAACATGAATTTCAATGGAGTTGACCTCTCTAGACTCAGGAAGAAGAAAGGACATACAGCACAGGTTTCCTCAACATCACACATATTTGCTTAAAACTTACAAACATTTTCTTAAATGCTTTTGGTATTGTTGAGTTGTTTTTCAGTCCAAGTAAGAGTTTAACCTCGGTTATCGGTAACAGAATACCGATTACAAGATCAATATCAAAGTTTTGTCAAATAGTTTATTGTATCAGTAAATGTTTTGTTCAAAAGTAGAAATGTAACGGCTTAACTATCTGATACAGTGTGTTTGTTTGGTTGATGACTTGGGAAACCGAACCATGCGACCCTGTCTCTCTAATGCTGTGAAAGTTCAGGTACATGACTTCATTGTGTGTGTCTCAAATATACATGCATTTAGTTCGAGTTGAAACAACATCAACTAAATTGTGTTATGTTTGACAATTATTCTGCTTTCTTTTTGCAGGCGGACGAGTTGACCAAAGAAGATTTTAAGGGCTCCAAGGTTGTTGTATTTGTCAATTGATTGAAATATTATGGATGCTTAACATTTTGGTGTTATAATGTTATCATGTATATTTCATTTGTCACTGTAATATTGATCTGATTCTTGTTGTCATGATAGGAATTACATTCATCAGTTTCTTTTAGGACTGAATTAATTGTTCATGCAATGTAAATTCCAGCATAATAGATCATAGGATAAGAGTGAATTTGTTTTTGATACTCTGCATTCACTTTAACTTAGTTTTCGATATATTGACATTTCAGTGGTTGGTGTTAAGATATGGTATATTTAATTTGGAAGTGATTCAAGCAGCCATTCTTTTAGCAAAGCAGGAAGGTCTTCTAGTTTCTTTGGATTTGGCCAGTTTTGAGGTATTCTACTGCAACTATCTGCATAAACAATTATGAAATGTGATATCATGTTTCATGTTTGTGTAAACAAGTCATTAGGTAGAAAATATCAAAATTCATGGGAAAATTTAAAAAAATGGGTAGTTTACCCTGTAAATTTCAAAAATTGGATAATTAACTTAAAATTCACACATCAAGATTAAGTCATCATGAATCGTGATGATTTTTTCAGAAAATTTTGAAAAAGTGAAATCGTTATAACTCATGACACCTTCTTTGTAAATATTATGAACCAAAGTCGCTAACAATCATGATGACTTTCAATTTATTAGATGTTGTTCACAATGATAACAACTTTTAATTGAACCAAAGTCGGTGTAATTCACAACTGCATCACATTTTCAAAATCTTATGAAAAAGTTGTCACGACTCATAACGACTTATCTTAAACATGTAAATTTTAAGTTAATTAACTCATTTTTGTAATTTACGGAATAAACTATTCCAATTTTATTTTTAATTTTCCAAACTCATGAAAAGAAAATGGAAAGTTGTGGTTTCCTTAGCATCAGCTATGTAAATTTAATCTTATGTAGCCTCTTTATTTTGGGTAGATGGTCAGGAATTTCAAAGAACCACTTCTGAAGCTACTGGAGTCAGGGAACATTGACCTTTGTTTTGCCAATGAGGATGAGGCAACAGAGCTTCTAAGGTAAATGTCAATTTTACTTAACCCAGCTTTGTTCCAAGATGTTCATTTTCCATGTTATTCATTGTCTTAGTTTCACTTAAGTAATCTGCATTTTTTCTTCTTTTTTTTATATAAATTGTCACTTTACACAATGGATTAATTCAGGGGTGGTGAACAGAATGCTGATCCAGAAACTGCAGTAGAATTTCTTGCCAAGTACTGCCAATGGGCAGTAGTAACACTTGGCTCTAACGGATGCATTGCTAAACATGGAAACGAGGTTTGTAAATTATGTTGTAAAGTTATTCTGATCTGCACATTAGCCAAGTGGCACCATTGAAAATTGTAAACTTTTACATAGGGAAATTAAACAATAGGTGTATGTAAGTGAAGAAAGCTAACTAAAATTTAGAAAACTTCACTTTATTCCTTACTATGTCTTTATTAGGCTGATTAAATTAGTATGAGACTAAGAATGGAACAAGTATAGTGCTGGAAAGTGTTTGATAATATCTGTTGAAGGAAAAGTTAGGAAGAAAGGAAGGAAGCAAGCATGAGAAATCGGTGTTGTAGGAAAAGTGGTGGAATGATGAAGTCTTAATGAAAGGAAGGGAAAAAAAATACTTTAATACAATACATATGTTGTCTCCTCCATCAATACTCTACTCTGCCTTCCCAGCTAACATGAATGTGAATGTATAGAACATCAACTTCTGTTTTTCAATATTGTCCATTGTTAAGAAGTGGATTTTAAGCCTAACTCAATCCCACGAAACCGACTTGTAAGGTGAGGTTTGTTTTCACTTATATACTCGGCCTTATCTCTAGTCGATGTGGGATTTTCAACATCTATCACTCTCAAGATCTTTTCATTGTTGTAGTTCGAGTCATCTGTCTAGTCAAGAGTAGTCTTCCCATTGTGGAAGTCATTCTTCAATCATGATACATTACATTTTGCAATACTTACTCTAATACCTATAAATTGCACATATTATGCACTATGATACCATGAATTGTCTATCATTCGTGAAAATGTTGCTAAACAATCTGTGTTAAGATATGATTATTATCCTAATAAAAGTTAAGGTTGTGTTTGAATGTGTCAGATTGCACGTGTTCCAGTGATAGGAGAAGCAAAAGCAAAAGATGCAACAGGAGCAGGGGATCTGTTTGCAAGTGGGTTTTTGTATGGAGTGATAAAAGGAATGTCACTTGAAGAGTGCTGCCAAGTGGGAGCATGCAGTGGTGGGTCTGTTGTACGTTCTCTTGGGGGTGAACTCACATTGGACAATCTTCATTGGATGTACAAACACATGCAGATCATGAATCTTCTCACGCCAAATACTGCCAAATGAACACTAACTTCTTCCTTTACTTTTCCTTTTTTCCTTTACATTTCATCTCTTGTCAGAAAATGGCAGCAATTGTATTCTTCTAAATGTGAAATGCTTTCATTAATGGATGAAGCAAGCCTATGCAAGTTCTACACAAATGGATTCAAATTTTCATATATATATATATATATATATATATATATATATATATATATATATAACATACTCACAAGTCTTTTTATATCAACTTGA